CACTGTTCTGTGCTGTGCTGCTGTCCCTGCAGTAAGTTCAGCCACCAGAACATCGTGCGTTGTATAGGAGTCAGTCTGCAAGCCATGCCTAGGTTCATCCTGCTGGAGCTGATGGCCGGAGGAGACCTCAAGACTTTCCTGAGGGAGACCAGGCCCCGGCTGGTGAGACACACTGCTGCATCACGCTCAGCTGAACGTTATCTTTTATGATGCTTAAGCGTATGCGTTGTGCACCTCTTCAATATTTCATTATTATGACACAACCTTTTAGGTTGATTCAGCAAGCAGATGCTCATTGACACATCCCAGCTATAGACACAACGTTATAATTCATTCAGAGTTACATTCAGTTGATGAAGCCCAGTATTCACTTTCTCTTAACCCTGAGGGAAATAAGTGTTCTCAAACTGCTAAAAGCTTCACTCTGTTAACCAGCAAGTTCCTAACTCTGTCTCTCTCTGCTGTTTGTTGCTGAACAGGTAGTGTACAGTATGTTTTTAAGAGTATCTTTACTGCTGCAGCCAAAGCATCACTGTGAGAGCAATGAGGGCGAACCAGAACAGTGAAGTTATAGCCGGACGGCTTAACAATGAGCTAAAACTCACGATTTCATTATATTAGCAATAAAGCCAAGAGCAGCTGCAGATTCAGGAGATAATTCTCTTAGAGTTCATCACTACAAGCGATCCATTTCACAATGTCATATTGTTTTCACATACCTATTTGATAGATTGTTATCATAAAAAAATGATTATAGTCCCTTTAGGCTATTATTTCTGATTGAGCCTCAGAATTCTCTCATCTAAGTTAGTCCAGTCAGATCATGTACTAATGTGTACTCCATCTGTATTCCAAATCTGCCTCAGATATATTCACTGATATCCATTTGTGGGTCTTTGTCTCTTCTCTGCTCGATCAGGAGCAACCATCCAGCCTGACCATGGTGGACCTTCTGAACGTGGCCAGAGACATCGCTAAGGGCTGCCAGTATCTAGAGGAGAACCAGTTTATACACAGGTACTTCATCAGATCTGCACATTTTGCAAAAACAAATAGAGAAAATGAAAGGACGTAATGAATTCTGTGCTTCTCCTACCTAAACAGATCAGAGGGGCAGAGAGAAAGACAAACTGTAAACAGCACACAGTACATATGGGTTTGCGTACCGTTGAATACATATGGAATGCAAATGTGCATTCAGCAAACAGAGTTGCCCACATTCATCTGCTAACGTCTACTCAGAATTATAAACTGGCTGCATCCGTCCAAGCGTAACATATGGACTCTGCACGCCTTTTGCCTTTCGTACGATAGCAGAAAGGACAAGTGATGAGTTTAGTATCAGCACAGCCAGATGGGGTAGCCGGCTTGCCTTTTTACGGTCTGTATCCAAGGCACAAGTCAACAGTGTGCCTCTCTATATACATATTCACAGAGGTTGGTGAACCAAAGGATGTGGCTAAAGATTTTTTTTTTTTTGAAGCTGCTTTACAAAGATTAACTTCATGAATGTCCTTGAGGAAAGTCATGGTAAAATGAGGAGGGGTCAAAACAGATTCAACAACGGTATTAGGACAATTAAAGCACCTTCCTTGAGCTTTGTCTTTGACTTCCTATGAATTTGCCAATAACACACAAGGCCTATTAAACCTTGTTTGCCCCTATGTGGCCCAGTAAAGCTCCATCAATCCATCTAATGGCTCACTCTTCTCTGGAGGCTTGTGATCTTTGAAACAACCTGATTTTCTGCCTTCGGAGCTGTATTAAAATTCACCCGAACACCGTCCTTGAAGCTGATTTCAATTTTATGGAGGTGTGTTTACTTGGGGATGAGTATGGGGCAGGTGAGTGAAGAGAGGTGGAGGAGTAGCCGCTACTCAGAAAATGCATCTTTTTCTCAAGGATTACTGGGTTGGATGATGAGCTGTGATGTGCTCCAACAGGTTAAATCACAGGGTTAATGCAGCCTGAGAACAACTTACTCCCGGCTTTTCTGTGTTTCTGCTGTGGTGTTTGCCTGTTTTATAGCCGGCGGATCATGCGGTGTTGCTGTTGGTTGTTTTATTTTACAACAGGCTGGCTTGGCCCCCGCAATGGAAATTGTAACCGCTCTGAAAAGAAGCGCTGTGCTGAGGAGTTTAATGTAACTGCAGGTGTTAAAATAAATTAATAATACAGATTGTTCTCAAAGTGCTGCAGTGAAACGGGTCTTTAAGCTGCAGTTAAAATTTACTGTAAATAAGGTCTACAGTAAGAGGCCAGTTTATAATATTTTAATAACTTCTCTCACACCACTGTGCTGCAATGTACAATCTCTCTGTGTCCTTCTCTTAAGCCTTCAGCCGGTCGTCTGCGACAGCTGCTGCCGCATTTCAAGGCTCATTCTTGCCTACGAGCAAAGCAAATACGTTCCATGAATTCTTCTAAGCCATTAAACAAGGACTGCTTGGATTTAGCTGGAGGCCCTTGTGAGGAAGTGTTTGTGTGCATGCCTTCCCACCTGCTAATTAGAGTCATGCTAGGAAAAATCATTCAGTCTTCCTGAAGTAGCTGTGTCGCTCTTAAATGGATTGATTGTTTCACTACTTATTCCTAAACAGGAAATCCTGTCTGATGACACAATTTAAGAAGTTCTCCGTAGCTGCTTTTGACAGCTCAGGTTACTGACGCTCTAAATTAGACTCCAGCAAAGTAAAAACATTCTTTCTCAGGGAAACTCAGACGCAAATAGATGCCATAAAACATTGCTGTATTTTTATGTCATACTAAATTATTCAATATCAAATTTGTAGCAGTTTTGTAATAGTGTAAGTTGTTTAGTTCCACACTTGTGGCACATTGAAGGTAGGCAACAACACACAGTGTTTGTCCCTGTCTTAAAAGCCCTGACTTTAAATCAGTCTGAATGATTACTGCATCCCCATTGTGTCATTTCTCATCTAGGTTAATAAGAAGCCAAAATCACAACAATGTGTTTCTGTCTATACACTCAGAACTCAGTACTGTGGGTTCTATCACTACTAGTTGTTTGTTTCCACCCCAGTCCTGTTTCATGATCCAGTGTGAGCAGAGTGCCACATGATATTATTCTGATGTTAAATCCTGGCCGAGCGCACGCTGATGGGGGAGCGCTGGGCTCACAACGTCACTTCTGAAGATGTTAAGAAAGTTAGATGCCAGGGGAGCAGAATACAGTGTGTGGGCTCAGTTTTCTTTTCCCCAGATGGGAGTGGAACACGCCGTGTGAACTACTGTATTTTTGCTCAAAGAATAACCAACCCACTACAGTACAAATATGAATTTTCTCCTCTAACCCACTCTGCCTTCACATACTGTGGAATATTTCAATCTTTTCTCTGGATGCACCATGTGGGTAGAGTCATAAAGGCACTAAGAAACTATACACTTTGCCAGCTTGCCCTGGGCAACGTGGTAGTTGCACTGAACTTCAGATCCAACAGGGGAGCGTCTGTAGGTGTCTCATACAGGGAGTTCTCTTACAGATGCAAATAATGAAAAACTTTGGTGAACTACTGAGGAAATGAGGAATCAGACAAGCTGTGTCAACATCAGTTTTCTGCATGTCTAACTCTTACATACACTTTATCCCAATATCCCGTGTGGACATCAAAGTATTCACATCAATCAGATTTACAGTGCTAACAAGTTACTGCATCCTAACAAAGCTCCATCAGTCCATACAAGCACACACAGTGAGCTGACAGTGGGTCTTTCTTTGGTCATTTCAGGGACATCGCAGCTCGGAATTGCCTTCTGACTTGCAAAGGACCGGGTCGTGTGGCCAAGATCGGCGATTTCGGGATGGCTCGAGACATCTACAGGTACAGTTTCAAACTCTGACTGATGTAAGACAGCAGGCGAGACCGTGTTGGTTCAACTGACCAGGTTCAGTTAGGTCCAAAGAGACCAGAGACCAAGTTAAGACTTACATCAAACGGACAGTGAGGAAGAAAATGTGTCTCTGAAGAACAAACATGATGCAAAAAAAAGTATTGGTTGACGGTGAAAACTAGTTGCGTTCAAGTTTTTCAGTTAAATATCGTTACCGTAGGCAATTAGTGCCAGTTGATAAAGGTTTTAAGATTTGGTCAAAAGGAAGAAAAGAAAAAAGTCCACTGGGAGGATTATCAGATATTTGTACACGCATCCATCCAGCCCCACTACTTCTTTAGCTTTTTACTGAGCAGGATGTATTACTGCTTCTTGCTTTGGCAGGTTATTCTTATTTAACCTTAAATTCTAGCTATTTATTGGCCTTAGTGCACACTGGTCTTTAGTCTGCTGAGGAGCACTGTGCTCGCAACATCACTTCTAAAGATGTTAAGAAAGTTAGATGCCAGGGGAGCAGAATACAGTGTGTGGGCTCAGTTTACTTTTCCCCAGACAGGAGTGGAGCACGCTGTGTGAACTATTGTATTTTTCTCAAAGAATAATCAACCCACTGCAGTCCAAATATGAATTTTCTCCTTTTAAGTAAGTAGTCATTGTAGTGAGAGAGAAACTCACACTCATACAGCCAATTTAGAAGCACCAATTAACCTACAATGCATGTCTATGGAGTGTGGGAGGAAGCCACAGCACCTGCAGAAAACCCACATAGGCACCGTGAGAATGTACAAACTCCACAAAGAATGAGCCCAGCCAATCAGGAGATGAGAATACAGTACACTCCATGACAGAAGTTTTAAGGATGACATTTTGAAGTTTAAAAATCAGCATATGGGTGTTTAAGTCTTAATTCAATATTGGCAATGGAAAGAGGCAGGAAATGTGGGTGTACCCGTAAGGTAAGTGGCCTAAATACTCCACTATCAGGGTGCACCTTTAGGCTTGTTTCTTTTACATACTAGGAGATCCACGCAATAGTGACTTGAATATCTAAATTACCTCAGAGTGAAGCCTTTATCATACTGGAGATGGGCAGCTGCAGACACCCACAGACATGTAGTTGTTGTTTTTACACCACTGTTATACTGCATGGCTACAAGGTGAGGATCCACGTGACATAAATATTGTCATCTTATTCGTGTGCAGCCCTACAAGTGCATATTCTCAGCAGTAGCGTAGTAGTAATGCACAGACTACACAGATCAGACCAAGTGCAAATGAATGCAACACAGTCCTCCAAGTGGAATACAAAAGCAGTATAACAGCAACAACTACATGCCTGTGGGTGTCCACAGCTGTCAGCTGAGCATCCACAAGGAAATCCAGTTTTATTCTACTTTACTAGGACTCTGCTTGACTCTGTTACATGCATGTGCAGTAGGTTGTATCTACATCCATGCATGCGTAGCGTCGAGTATGTGCACCCTTGTAGCATAGTCGCTGTCTAGACACAAATACTGGGCTGCATATAGACTCTTGCAAAATAATGAGGAAATTCACGTTACTCAGATCCTTGCATACTCGCAGACCTGGAAAGTAAGTCAGCAGCTATTTTAAACGGAACTCTTTCTATGTGTTTTGGCCTTTCATCCACATGCACACACAGCGTTAGGTCATCGAAAACTGAGCTTTTGGAAAACTCCTTCCAGGCTAAAGAAATTTGGAAACTTAATTTGCAGTGTTGACATGAGATAGATAAGAAAAGAGGGAAAAGCTTTTGGCTTGTGATATCAGACTGTGCGCTATTATCTTCTTTGTTTGCATGAGGAGATTTTGTGCAGGGGTGGACGTGGCAAAAATACTGCAGATGATAACCTTGCTAACAGGACCGTTTACATGTTTATGCATAAATGTACAGTTGTTCTTTCATTATATTGAGGAGCAGAGGCGTTAGAGTCAGTCCACATACATGAATCCCTGCTTCCTTGATGCACCGGTGTTGGCAGCCGATCAGAACCAATAATAGCTTTTTTAAGGCTTCTATTGGCCAACATGACTTTAGGCTGGGGCTTCAAGGTGGCTCGGTGGTTAGCACTGTTGCCTTGCAGCAAGAAGGTCGCCGGTTCGCATCCCAGTGAGGACGCATGTTCTCCCCATGCAGCGTGGGTTCTCTCCGGGTTCTCCGGCTTCTTCCCACACAGTGTAGCCCTGTGATAGACTGGTGACCTGTCCAGGGTGTCCCCTGCCTTCACCCTGAGTCAGCTGGGATAGACTCCAGCCCCCTGTGACCCTAATGAGGATTAAGCAGTGTAGAGATAATGGATGGATGGATGGATGGATGGACTTCAGGCTGAAGGTTATATCTCCACCTGTTGTTTTGCATTTGCTTTTTTCATTTTAATATGGACAGAGATTTATTTATTTTGTAAGAATAAAGGAGAAAATAGAAAATAGTTTGCCATTTCTGTACTGCCAGTTCCTGTTACTTTTCAGCCAACACACAGTAAACAGTATACTATTCTACAGGTTTAGCTCTATGACAATATACATTCTGCATCTTCTGATTGTCGGGTAAAACATGCTTATACACAAACACATGTAATCAGATTTTAAATATTTTAGTGAAAGTACAAACAGTTTTTTCTTCCTGTGGAGTTATGAAAACCTGTAGCACTTCTCATGGAGACTTTTCAACTGGTAAATGTTAAAGCTCAGCTGTTTTACTCTCCATCAGACTGATGCCTTCTCTCAAATCTACATCAGCTCATCTGTAGCCCCAACAGCGTCTCATTATTCTCAGCTCAAACTTTCTTAATATAGCTAACACTGCTTCACGTGACACCATTTAAATGAATACACAATCCAGCAGGGAAATCTCCTAAGCCTTTCATCTGGTGAAAAATTAGAACAGGGGAAATATGTCACAGCATTCTGCTAAATCAACGCAGCACTTTCGAATCATCCGATGGAAAGTCACATAAGAGCAAAGTCACTCTGTGAACATCCGGAAAAGGCTGTTGCACAACATCCCTGGGGAGCCACATTAGGAACGCTTGATTTAATTGCTGATGTCAGTTTTTCAGGTGCCTCCCTGCGATTTTGTTTTTATCTCTCAGCCTGGAGCCGTGGTGCCAGGACTTTTTTTTATTATTATCATTGTTATGTTCAGGGGGTGGTTGTTTGGCACACATAGCCACTAGGCCGCCGGTGTGTTATTACTGCTGTTTCATGATGTCTCCCTACTGCTATGTGACAAGGGACATGGGAATCTTTTTTAAGGCGATCACAGGGGACACGTGCCCCAGTGACGGTCTAGGACAAGGAGTAATGTCAGCTTTTTATATTCTGATAGGACAGCCACAGGCACACCGCCACGTGGTACTCCACAGATTCCCCGCACACAAATCCACTCGCATAGTCTCACATGCATGCTTGCACACCAGCGATGCGGTGGTAAATAAAAAGCTGGGCAAACAATAGCTGCTAGACAGTAATCATCCAAAGGTAAACAGCTGCCAGTGTGAGGAGAAATCCTCTGTGCTTTTAGAAGAGAGTTGTTGTTTTTGCCTTAAACTACCATATAGTCATTAGGACCAATGGTTGTATAGCATGACTTTCGCCTGTATTTATTAATGTCAGCCTGGTGCGCTCACATGCAGACACACACAATAAAGGCAGAACAAAGACATCTAAGTCAGCAGACGCAAGTATTAGACTCCACCATTGTGTCCTCAGGTGCACGCTTCTATCTCACTTTCCATTCAGCTCAGTCGGCTCTGTGCCTTTGTCTCTTACTGTTCTGTACTTCTCTATCTTCCAGCTTCCCTCCTGCTCTCAGAGTTGCTCGCACAAAAAAACACGTCCGTATAAAACACCTCTATTTCAGCTATAGATTTCCTGGGACTGTATTTAAGCTTCCCTTAATCTGCGGCTCAGCTTTTAGTGTGTGTTGTTGGTGTTAGCAGTTGTAATAAAAAATGTCCATAAACTCTTGTGCTTTAAAAAAAAAAAAAAGCAGAGGTTGATCTTCTGATAGGGGGATTATCAGGTGTTATGTTCTACATTTTACCATCCTTCAATCTTTTCACAACATTTCAGCATGCTCTAATGGGCAGATAACAGACTGAATCTGTGCAAGTCTGTGTTCAGGTCATCTATTTTTAAACTTGTCTTTCACTTGCACAGGTCAGAAAAGGCAGCTGCAGTAAATACATAGAGAAAAAAAAGCAAGACATTGTAGCAGGCTGGTTTTTGTAAACTTATTATCGCTGGAAATATACAGAACAACACACACACACAGAATGCACTGAGCGCCCACAGTTTGACCTAATTGCATCTTTTTTTTTTATGGAGGCAAGTCCACTTCCCTCACTATCTTCTTTATTAGGATGGACAGGAAAATTAGAGGGATACCGGGGAAATGGGTAGCAGCGTTCAATCCTGTAATTGTAGGTCTAAAAATGGAGGTGGAAACTGAATCCCATCACTGGCTGCATCATGTTATTTTAAGTGATAGATTAAGGCGTTGGGCGGGTATCTGCCCGGCAGTAGTTCTTAGCTAATCTGTCAAGCAAACAGACTCCACTAGTGATTGTTTTCTCTGCTTCATTGATTATGTGTAATTTTCCTCAAGGGTAACTTCTTATGCCAATAGTTTGCTAAGTATATATTTCCCTTGTAACCACATTATGAGAGTGCATATCATCTATATCCATCTCTGGGTGATCCCCTGAAGACACACAGCTGTGAGTTAAAGCAAACGATGAGTGCTTGTTGTTTGCTTTGAGTTCATACTGTGGGAAATGAAGCAGTCTATTTTTTAGCGTTCTCACCTGAATTTGTAATTAAAGAAACCTCCGTCGTATAACGATGACACCAAAAAGCTGGTTTGAGGTACTAATAAACATTGCAAATTTTGGGGGGGTTTCTTTTCTCCGTCTAATGACTGAGGCTTGGCTGCAGACTCCGAGTACTGCATGCCTTATTATGTCAGTTTCAGCCTCTTGGCAATAGATGCACATTATTTTTGGATTTAATTTTACACATCACTTTCAAGACATTCAGTACTCTGGCTTTTAACACAAGTTCAGACATTTTTAGCCCCAGGTGAGCAACAGCACAGCTTGAAATCCTCTTTAAACTAAAGACCAGATCTGATGGGTCGTGCAGTCCAAGCACACAGGCTTTAGATGGTGTATCTGAGCGTCTCGCGCTGCCAAGACCACGGCCTTTTTTGTTTGTTGTTCTATATTTTATCCAAGCTACTGTTGTATTCTTATTTGTGATTCTTTTCTCTCTCTTTTTTTTTTTTTCCTGGTTATTTATTTATTAATGGTTGTATCCAGGGAACACCAGCAGAGCTCTTTCCTCGCACTGCTTCACAATCACACGTGGGAGCTGCCCACTGTAATTACAATGCCATCCTGTGCAGCCATGTGCAGCTCGAACAGAGCAGCTGGTGCTTCGCTTACTTGTCTAGCAGAGAACGAGTGTTACCACTGCTCCTTTTCTTTTTGCAAAAGCTCCAGGGATTTGAACTGGCAACTATCCAGCCACTTTCCTATTTATTATCAAGCACTTGCCATGTTTACAAACAAGTGCTTGGGGAATAAATTGACATTTTTATGACAAAATTACTGAGGGCAAAAGAATGTACTCCTCTGCAACAGCCGACTGTGCCAAATAAAGTTTTCCCAACTGAACGTGGCAGACACCACTTTACTCAGACCCTGATGTGTGTCCATTTTTTTCTTCGCCGTGATGGACGAGGAGGTGAGCGGCGCCCGCTTCACGTCTGCTCTCGGTGTGCGCCTCGAGCGGGGCGAGACGAACCAGGCGGTGACCTCTATCATCACCAAACATCAGATAGAGCACGCATCAGATAATTTCTCTACCAAAGCAAGGCCCAAGACAGCATTAAAAATGGCTCAGACAGGGCTCGGCCCGGCGAAAAATCTCCCTCTCGCCTCCGTGCGAGATAAGGAGTTCTTACAGGGTCTCTCACACCAACATGCTAGGAAGCTGAAAATGCGATTGGATCGGAGTGCTGATACAGCCACTGACAAACGGGGAATTAATTGTTGGATCTGAGAATTTTTCTTTCTGACACTCTGCTTTTCAGGGCAGTGGTGTTGCTATGGTGATGGTGCTGAAAAGGTTCATTTACAACTGATCTGTTTTTTTTTTAAAATATATTAGCCACATGTTACTCATTAAGCATTTTACTATTTTAAATCTGTGCGTGTGTGTGTGTGTGTGTGTGTGTGTGTGTGTGCAGGGCGAGCTATTACAGGAAGGGCGGGCGTGCCATGTTGCCAGTAAAGTGGATGCCACCTGAAGCCTTCATGGAGGGCATCTTCACATCTAAAACAGACACGTGGTGAGAATCTTACACACTCCTCAAAGCTCACCCTCACTGCGATTTCATCTCTTAAATTTCACACTCAGACGACCGCTGTCCCGACCTGCATCCTCTTTGCCTTTCTGTTTTTCACCTTCCTCCGTCCTCCAGCGCATTTGATCCCTACCCATTTGTTTTCCTTTTAATTTCTTGTCCTCGTCCTCTGCTCTCATCTTTTACCGCTTCAGCTGTGATGATGTCCGTAATTTATGTCGTGATTGTCCTCAGTCTGCCCCGTTTCCTTTTTCCCTCCCTGAAACTAATCTCTCCTCTCATCATCTGCCTCTTAAAGGTCATTCGGGGTTCTGCTGTGGGAGATCTTCTCGTTGGGCTACATGCCGTATCCAAGTCGCAGTAACCAAGAAGTGCTGGAGTTTGTAACCAACGGTGGAAGAATGGATCCACCTAAAAACTGTCCGGGGCCAGTGTAAGTGCAGATCCGCACGTGCATTCCTGTGAGCACAACAAATCACATGAGGTCTTGTTAAGCTTCTCCATACAGTAACCGAACATAAAGGACCGACGGTGGCTCGGCTGTATGTGAAGCGTACACGGCACATATGAAGCCTCCAAACACACAGTGGCAGACATGAAAGGCTCCGATGATTCTCTGATATTGACATGTAAACCAAGTAGTGACCTAGAAGGTGTCAGAAAAATTTAACGGGAGATCGCTCTCAGTGCTTTCACTATGGAAACCACACAAACAGTCCTCTTTCATGTTTGCCTCTCAATTTCGAAGAAGTCATGGGCAGCTGATAGGGAGCTTAGAAACCATTTCCAAATCACAATATATTTTTCACTCACTCTTCAATGTACTGCCTCTCATGTGAACTCTATTATAAAATATATATGTAGGCAGACACGCGTTTTCCCTCCCGCTCTCTGTCAGAAACACGTTCTGGGAGCACTTTGGCCTCACCATGATTTCACAGTTTTATCCTTCACACCTGTTGGCTGCAGCTTTGCAGACTACTTCTCTTATCATTTTGCAGCCTGCCTTGCATGTTCCCTGTAAAAAAAAAAAATTTCTTTAAAAATAATCCTGGCCGTGTGGTGCCTTATTCATTTAAAGTTCTTGCGAGGCTCACAATATGACGCTGATTGGTGAAAGCGGCACTGCAATCAGATCAGTAGTAAGCATTACAACTCAGGGTTTAACTTCACTAGTTGCCCCTGTAATCTGCATCACTTATTTAACAATCACTTAAACAGGAGGGACATTACACTCCAACTCTACATGCAACAATCAAAGCAGCTTTGAAGAGTATTTTGTCCAAACAGATTTATCTGGCATTTGTAGGACCAGCAGGAGCGACAGCACTGGAGAGCTTTCTCTACACCTGCATGCAGCAGGAGAAGATGTTTTCATTAGGTGTTTTCTGCTTGTCTGTCATTCATGTGTATCTTTAGGTACCGTATAATGACTCAGAGTTGGCAGCACCAGCCTGAAGACAGGCCCAACTTCTCAACTATCCTGGAGAGAATTGACTACTGCTTACAGGTAACCAAAGAGAGCTCGCTGTGGGATTCTGACTGACATGTAGGCATGGATTAGGGCTGAACGGTTTGAGGAACATATCTAAGTGCAACTTTGAATTTCTAGGATTATGCCGTAGCTACACTGAGCACGTAACATAGGCATGATCAATGAAAGTGGCTACACCAGGCTTGAGAGTAAAGTCTTTATTGGACACCTAGTTGTTGCTATTATGCTGGTTTTCCTTTCTGCAGGAGTTCACATGGAGATCTTGGTTAGATACATGTGCAGTATGTTGTGTAATCTGCACTATGCGCACTGCTGCCGAGCATGCACACGATGGCACTTGTAGAGTAGTCGCCATGCATACACAAATATTGGGCTGCACACACACATCTGTAGAGGAGTCCATGATGTATCCTGTGAATGTGGGGAGATGATGTAATTTACATCACATGAACACTATTAGACCCTACCATACTTGCAGTCACAAAAAGCATAACACCCACCAAAGTGGTGCGTATGTGTCGCACTGATCCACAAAGAAAATGTAAAAATAGACCAGTCCACTCTATTTAGATTTTTTACAAATGTGTGCATGGCCCTTTTATACAGAAAAGTGTGAAAAGTATTAGTGTGTTTTACAGAAATATACTTCAGAAAATAACTTGTGACAAACAGGGTTTCCACTTCAAAGTCAGAATCCCCCCATCAGCATGTATTAGCCAGTACAAGCACCTCAGTAACTTCACCACTTACAGGGTCTACTGTAGGCATTAGATGGTAACTCACCCAAACTGCACAAACTCTACGAAAAAAGCAAAAGTTCTGCAGCACTGCGCTGGATCCAAAAACTGAAGAAACAACTATCTCAAAATATAAAGCCTTTGTGTTGTTTTTCCTCACCCAGTATGTGGGCTGCAGCTGTAACTAGTAAAAAGATACAATCTGCAGCAGATCCACTCTGAAAACAGTCCACATGCGTTACCTGCTCAGTGTAGCGGCACCGCTAAAAAAGACAAGGTTGTATGAGGTGTAATAGAAAATCTAGTGTATTTCTGCAAGACCAAAAGCTGATGGGGTGACGCAACCTGTTTGTTGTTATATCACCTCACATTTGATCTCTGAATGGTCTGCCTTATTTCAGGACCCTGATGTGGTGACCATGCCCCTGCCTGTAGAGTACGGGCCTGTTCCCGAAGAGGAGGAGCGTGCACCCTCGCGCCCTGACGACCCCTCAGCTCCAACTGTGCTGGTTAATGCCCAGGTGCCTGATGGGGAGGCTCCTCAGCCGCCCCCGTCCTATCCTACAGAGGAGAACCGGAGAGGAGGGGAGCACACCGTGGTGACTAGCACAGCATCAGAGGCCAAAGCACAGCCATCAGCTCAGCCCCAGCCATACCTCCACCAGCACCAGCAGCCTCACACACAGACCTCGATCGCCATGACTACCACTAACACAGTCACCTCGGCTGCCCCCTCAACACTCACTGCCAAGGGACCTCATGTCACCACCCAGCCCAGTCCAGAGGGGGGCCACATCAATCTGGCTTTCGCCCAGGGCCACCCACCAGAGAAGGAGGGCCACAATGGGAAAAGCACCAGTCTCTGGAATCCCACATACGGCTCGTGGTTCCTGCAGCAGCAGCAGAGGAAACAGCAGCAGCAGCAGCAGCAGCAGCAGCAGCAGCAAAGGCAGGCAGGGCTGGGGGGAGCAGGGGGCAGCGGCAGCAGGGTTCCCGGGGAGGGGCAGGAGCATGTGGGTCGGACGGTGGCTGAGGTGGCCGGGGCGCTCGGCCTCCAGCACCAGCACCAGCACAAGCAGTTCCAGCATCAACTCCAGCAGCAGCACCAGCTCCAGCTGCTGCACCATCAGCAGCAGCAGGGTCTCTGCAGACCGCTGTTGCCCCCACCGCCCCCTCCTGCTGCCCAGTCACCTCTGCTGTTAGATTCAGCTGCCTTGCCCCCAGTTCCCCTCTACAGACTGAGACGTTTTCCTTGTGGCAACATCGGCTACGGCTACCAGGAGCAAGGTCTGCCAATGGAGGCCACCCACAGTAACACCAATCCCCCTCCTCCACCCCCTCCAGCCCAGCAGGGCACCTCCATGCCCTCCTCAGCAGCCCATCAGAGGGGGGCCTCTATTCCCACTTCGGTGTCCCTGGGTCGGCCAGGTATGTCCGAGGACAGCCGTCCACTGCTAGTTACTATGGGGACAGTGCAGGATCCACGGCTGCCCAGGATGGAGGGCCACAACGCCACCGTGCTTTAGCCCAAATGCCTGTACTGCTGGTCTTTTCTTTCAGGCCCTGTCTTTGGAGACTGTGTGTTCAGGACGCACAGCAAGAAACACTGTGCCAGGACAGAGACCATTTATCACCATCCCCACTGTCCCGCCATTTTAGTTTCTTCCTCTAGTTCAGAAAGAACCCATCTCTCTGAAACATGCTTTTTACAGGAGAACCTTAGAGGTGCGTTAAAATCCCCAACGGATGCTAAAGCACATCAGACGACTAAAAAGCTTCGGGAGGCAAAATATAGAGCAAAGGCTAGTTTTAAGAGTTTAAAAATGTATTTTTTCAACGCTGGAGGGATCAGGACTGAGTGAGAGAACTGAGAAAGAAGAATCACCTGGAGAGTTTCTAGCACAGGAACACTTTCCATGTGTTTGGGACCACAAGCGAGCACTCTGGCCATGTTCATCAAAAGCTGAGGATGCTTCTTGTCTATCTGAATGGACTATTAGGAAGATTAAATCTCCATATTTTGCCAGACTCAAGACTTTGACTCACAAACTTTGGTGAGCAGTTTCCCTGTAGCAACAACAAAGTTGTCTACAGCTGCCAGCCACATGTGTCAGTTCTACTGCAGAACCCTCGCACTGTTCCTTATCCTTTTAGGAAAAAAAGCAGCGAGGTAAATAACTTGTATCAGACTATTTTTCAAGAGTATCGCAGAATTAAAACACTGGATTACCAGAGACATTTATACGGAAAAAAAGAAAAAAAAAATTACTGGGAAAAATGTGTTTGTTGATGTTTGCTTGCCTGCTTGTTTATTTATTCATTTGTTTATTTATTATTTGGACGTGGCTCTATAAATTATTAATGAACACGCTTCTTCAAATCCAAACAAATTCATTTTACATTAACTGGTATTCACTTTAGTTTCTTTTAAGCTGCAGGAATATATTTTTAGTTATACTTAACAAACAGGAGTGCGAACAATTCCAACAAAAAAAAAAAAAAGGCAAAATATCCCAAATGGTTTCCTTAAATACTGACAGAAGTAATCAGTTGTGTCTTTTTATGGCGGAATAAGTGGATAGAGAAGTGACGCAGGTGGGAGAGATTATTTCACAAAAGAAGAACAGAGATTGAAGACAAACCACCGCAGCAACATTTAGGAGTTCAGTTTTTTTTTGTTATTGCTGAAGATTGGAAGTAAGTCGTTGCCCCTGGTCCTATTGAAATCACTGCTCTTTGAACTCCCCTTTTGTGCACAGCTCCTTTCTGTTGAACGAGTGCTTTGAGACAGTGAAGCTGAGGCTTTTCTTTACTTGTGGCTTTCAGTAACCTTTTATTAATTCATTTCTTGTTAAAAAATGTTTCTTTCCCTTTTTTGTCTGGATATGGAAACATTGGATATTGCTGAATCAATCTTAACCTTCAAATTGCTATCTTGAAGCACTCCACGTTCTTAAATTTGCATATTTTATCTTTTCTATTATAGGATGGGTGTTGTGGAATACAAATGAGTCTGAGTGAAAAGTTTAAATACAAACTGCTTTTGCTCCACATGTGAATGAAACCCAGGACCAGTCTGACTTCACTCATATTCAAACACATGGTGTTAACACTAGTCTGTGTTTCAAGTCTGCTTTTTTTCAGTTACATACAATATATCTGTCCAATATTGCCATGAGCGTGTTGATATTTAGGTGAATGATGACAATATTTTTTTGATGCTTTCGCTTGACAGTTTTTTGGCAATCCTGTCAGTCCATCTGCTGTAAAGAGATGATGAGCTGTCATGTACTTGTCATGATGCTCAGTGATTAAGACAAATGCATTCCTGTTGGCAAAGTCACTGAGCAAGCTCAATATTGGCTAATGAAAACTGTTTTTGCTTTGTCTCCAGTGCCTGTGTTAAACTGCATTCATTCTGTGTTTTCTTCACAGCTCATCTCTGTCGTTTGATGTAAAAAGACAAACCCAACTGCACCTGTAAATGTTGTAATTATAAAGTATTGTACTATGGCTCTGGTAAAAGCTGTACATTGCCCTTCAGAAGACATTCGCCAAAATTAATAAATTACTATATAATAGCTGCATTTGTCCGTCTACTGCTGTCTTTGGGGTTAAACTAATTAAAGAAATTAGGGTTGGTGATTACGTTTCAAAAACACAATCATCAGCAATTTGTGGTACAAGTGCTGTTCAGCCATTTGGTTCCATATATAGTATACAACAGGAGCGAGTACAACCCTGTGCAATATCACTTGACATTTAAATGATTATAGACGTTATTGAAAATAAACGCCTCAAAGTATAATTCAGTGCAACAACAGTGAATACCTGTGCTCACTGAAACTAAACTGAGTACACCTGTTATTTCCAGTTAGTCTAACTGCACAAAAATGACCTGTGAACAGTTTTTTACCTTTGGGCTGTGTCTATCTGCATGTCTGCATCATAGCTCCACATTGAAAAGAACTGCCGGATGAACCAGAACTCTGAAAGGGAGTCGAAACAAAAATGGAAACGTATACAAAAATATCAGTGACCGACCAAAATTCAGTGTAAACACAGTTGCAGCAGTAATCAGGAGGTAGGGAATGAGTCCGTAGTCCCACTAATCAGAGCTGCGGTGGTCGTCTTCCTCCTGAAATGACACCACAGACTGTGCACTGCTATGAGGTTAGCTTTGAGGGGCCATCAGAGTTTCTAGCTCAGCTCAGACAGAATGAAGAGCATAAGAATCCAGTCAGGACTACCACAGTGAATCCAATCATGAAGCACAGAGGTAGGAGTGTGATAATATGGGGTTCCATGAGTGTAAAAGGTGTCAGTTAGCCCTGAGATGACTTTTCATGGTACCAGGAATGCCTGTGGATTTGCCCAAAATACTGCCTGACAAGTTCAATGGAATCCAATGGAGCAACTTTGGGGTATTTTGAAAAGAAAGGTAGAGCAACACAAGCTCTCCAACAAAAAGTAGCTGAAAAAAATAGCCTCTGAAGAATGGCAGAATATCGCTGTAGAAATATGTGGACACTGGTAGCTTCTCTGCCAAGGACGATTGAGTCTGCCATGAAAAAATAGAGGTGAACATACAAAGTACTGGAAAATCACTGACTTTTGTTGCAGTGAGCTCCTACTGCAGGGCTGGTATTTTTAATATAGTAAATATAGATTGGTTTTAGTTTCACATAAGAGCAAAAACCCAACCGTTCAACACTCTAATTACTGTGAAGTGATACAATTTTGAATCATTTGACATTTACATAATGTACATGTCCGTATTCTCTTCTTTTCAACACTGCATTTCTGGAACCAAGCTAGTCCTACACTCTTCCACCACAACTATCATTCAGGCATCAAACTGAGTGGCTCATTCTGGAGATGTTCTCGAGATCCTCATGCTTTTTTCAAGCAGTATGCCAGTGCAGTGATTTGATATTAAATTTTGATGATCATGTCTCTCTGATCATGATTTGATTTTTTAGAGGCTTCATCAATGTGCCATGTGTTCTGCTACAGCGTGGAGCAGTGGTTTTTGAAACCAAGGAAATAAATTCTAAGTACCTCTCCGTTCCAAAGTTTTAACTTTTCAAGCATATACTACACATTAAAATGTAGCCACAAGCCCTCCTCTCTCTCTCAAAGTGTAAACATCGACCCCTGGGGAAGAACAGTTCCTGAGCTCGAAGCATTAATTGCGAGCTGACTCATGGCCCACCTTCCACTTTCCTAAAAATACATACGTTTACTTCATTCATTTCACGAAATGTTCCACCCTAATAAAACCAGGGTTGGACTCTGAGGATCTAGGTGATTTTTAAGTGTTTTGTATAATAAATTGTTTGTCATTAATAGCAGAGATCAGCAGAGTAATTGGCAAATGGTGCTGGTTGTTGCACACCTACTGACATGTGTCTAGGACAGGCCTTAGCTTCCTGCAGTGGGCATTCATACATAACAGTTGCTTCATGTTTTGCACCTGTCAAGATCAATCCCATTATGTGTTCTCGGTTAACTTCTTGCCCTTCTTTTTTGCACCTAAGTTACTACTTTAAGTTACTACTTAAATTTCATACATTAAGCTATACGTTGTTGTCCTCAAGAGAATATTTGTCCTGGGTGGCTCACTGACAACATAATGGCCGTTACATTATGTTCAGCAACGTTCTGATGTTGCAAAAACATGGATGGCAACATGCAGATAGAACACCTCCCCTTTTTGCATTCTTCATACAGGATGGAAATAAAGTTAGTACTGACTCAGCACATTGATTAAAGGTGTGTAAGTCTAAGGAAGGAAGTCCTCCAGTAAGTCTCTTTGTCCTTCCGATAAGACTTTAGAATGATCTCAGTATCCAGGGTGTTTTTGACACCATGAGAACTCTCAGAATTCACTGGATTAGATGGATTATACTTAACATGGTTGCCATGTTGACAGCAGCGATGTCATTGAACTGCCTAAAGCCATGTTCACCAACTTCCATCTAATTTGGGGGCTTGAAGAAATCGTCCTGATGGGCCAACTAACACTTGGGTAGGCTCTCAATCAGTCTGTTGGTAAGGGTCATTTTCCCTCCATTGGTCATACCGCCAACACCAATGATGGCACAGATGAGGTAGTTAAAGGAAAGTTTTCGGCATTCAATTGAATGAAGGAATGTTCATAGCTCTGAGTGTGTAAAGCAGATTATATCTTACTAGGCTGACTTGTGATAGTAGTAAACTTGGCATCAGAACTGAGTGAAAGTGTCAGAAGTCAGATTGTCATTCTAAGTAAAGAGGGACATTCTCACCATCAAATGATGATTAGACTGACCCTTTCTAAGGGGGCAGTGCATGGAGCTGTAGAGCATGTTTTTCACTGGTTCAGTTGCATTCAAAGCAGGATCAAGCAGACCAAAAGTGAGCGCACCATCAGAAGATCAATACACCAAGCTTTGTTCACTGAGAGATTGAAAATCAACTTCATCACAGACAGAGAGTTTGCTAAATAAAGAACACAAGACTCCAATCAGTATAAGTTCTGTCA